AAATTATAATGTATTAGTGTTTGGTTCTTAGTAATGTTGTTCTTAGAGCAATCAGATCATCAATCATCATTCAAAGTTCTTAATTTATCTTTTCAATGGGAATGCTTCCAGGAACAACTAATCCAACATTCCAGCCAAAAAATGCTTTTGGTTGCAAAGATAGAAACTGAATGTTCAATGAATTGTTCACACAAAGTGCAGTGGTCCAGCCACCTTATAGTCAGTCATAAACCTTAGTGTACATGGAGATCTTTAATTTTTTTTTTACAAAATTTTATTCTTTCTCAAATTTTTATGTATTTATTCAAAAACCTCTTCTTTGGTCATCCTACTTCAAATTTTACAGATTAAAGTTTTACTTTTAAAGCTATTTATATACTAACTATTTCATTGTTATACAATGATTTCATAATAATGAACTTTTTTTTGGTCAGTCATGGGGCTTGAACTCAGGGCTTGGGCTCTCTCCCTGAGATTTTTGCTCAAGGGTCACACTGTACCACGTTGAGTCACAGCACTACTTTGGTTTTCTGGTGGTTAAGAGAAAAAAGTCTCATGGGTTTTCCTGCCTTGGCTGGCTTCAAACTTCAATCCGCAGATCTCAGCCTCCTGAGTAGCTAGGACTACAGGTGTTAGCCACCAGCGCCCGACTAGTGAATCTTTTTAATGTATCAGATCAGGACAATTTCCTGATACTTTTTTCTCATAAACATATTTACAAAACTATACTCGTTTGCTAGGTACTGCTGTCTTATCCCTGTAATGCTAGCTACTCAGGAGATGGATATCAGAAGATTATGGTTCAAAAATGTCTAAAAGACCATTGAATGGCCTTGGAATTTTGGGATGTATGTGTTTTAAATTGTTCAGACATATAATTACTAAAAATAAAATATTTCAATCAAATGTAACCTTCCTTTCTCGGTGGTAGACTATAGAGATAGATGTACAAGTTACTTGTGCATGGTATCACAGAGTACTTTCATCTGCATTATAATAACTTTATGAGGGGAGAGCATTTTCCCCCATAGTGGAATTTCTTCATAGAAATAAAGTAATTGCAAGTTTCTAAGCTACATTGTACCATTTTTTAAGATTATCCATCCAGGTATTCTTTGAATTTTAGTCACTAACTACTTGGAGAAACAGAATTCTCAAATTGTCCCATATAAATGTCCAGTTATTTGTCACGTTTGGACAATTTATGACTTTAGGCCAGGTTGGGGTATTGAGCATTATCACCATGAGCTCTGTGAAATATTTCAGGCAAGTACATGGCTATTCTGGACAAGGTGAAAACCAAAGTTATATCTGGCTCATAATTCTGCCCTTAAGCTGCTGCCTCCTCCTTCATTTATTTTTGATAACATACTTAATTGGTTCCATGTGGGCAAAGCAATTTACCCTGAGATGATTATTTCCGCCAGTGGGATACACAGGCTCAGCCATCTGTGAGTGAGAGCAGTTGGCTCCGACAGATGAACTGTTAGAGTATCTGCAGCTTTCAAATAGGCCAGGTAATTTTACAAACTTAAAAATATGCTCAAGTTTTGTTTGTGAGAGACAGAAGTCTAAATAGAAAGTAAGCAGATGATTACAATAAAGAGGCCATTAAAAAAAGACATTGAAGCCAGTGATTCATACCTGTAATCTTAGCTTCTCAAGAGGCTGAGATCTAAGGATTGCAATTTGAAGCCAGCCTGGACAGGAAAGTCTGTGAGTCTCTTATCTCCAGTTAACCACCAGAAAACCAGAAGTGAAGCTGTGGCTCAAAGTAGTAGAGTACTAGCCTTCGGTGAAAAAGCTCAGGGACTGCTAGCATCCATGTCCTGAGTTTAAGCCCTAAGACAGTCAAAAAATTAAAGTAATGCATTGATGGAAAGAGTGAACATCCTGGCCTACTACCCCTTCCTGATCCTTATCTTGTGTTGTGCAAACAGGGGTGCTCTCCGAAGCATGACACCTACCACTTGAGCTTAAAGGCAGAGTAAAGAACATAGGTATCGAGAGGATAGTTTCTATTTAAGAGCTTGTTCTTCTCCAGTTTGGGGATGCTATAGATTATCCTATATGCAAAAAGACTTAGATGGAAAAATTATAAATCTGGGGACATTTGCATATTTGTAATGAAATAGATCAAGGACAAGATTTCGGTATAAATATCAAGTTCATTTATATTTTATACATGTATTAGACAGCATGAAAGAATTTTTATATAATATCTTTAGTGCTCTAGCATTTCAACTGTGAATTTTCTTTTCTGGAGTGAGGTGTCATATTCTAATATAACTCAAGAAGTTTCAATTTTGGAACATATTAGACTTCAGATTCTCAAGGTGGAAATAGACAACCTGTATAAGACAGTTGCTGTGAATATTTGTGTACAGATTTTTCCCTTTCAGGAATTTGTTTATTATTATAAAGGTGATGCATAAGGATATTAGTTTCATAAGTCAGATAAAGAGTACATTTCTTTTGGAATAATATCATCCCTTCCCTTGCTCTGTGTTCTTCCCTCAATTTCAACCCATATTAAGTGAAGTAAACCAGACCCAAAGGAACATAAATCCCATGATTTCCCTCATTTGTAATAATCAGTATATGTTTAGAATAGTCCTAGAAGAAGATCATAATAGCTCAATAGCCATGTACATCTGACCTTATAAGATGATGCTAAGCAAAATGAACTCCAAGATATGGAAGCAAGAGGTTTTTCTTTGTTGTTGTTGTTAATGTACTATGTGATTTATTTTTGCTTTTGTGTTTTTACCCCTATGGTTAATCCCCTGTTGTCACTGTATTTGATTTTGGTACCCTGGGTATCATATATATGTTTACCTGGATTAGGGAAGGGAAAGGGAACAACAAAATGGTGAGAGTAAAGAAGGGCAAGCCAATGCAACAGTGATACTCACAAGACAAGAACTGTACAGCTTGGAGGCAGGGAGGGAAAGTGGGAGAAAAATGAGGGAGAGGGTAACAAATTAGACAAGAACTGTACTCACTACCTTACTTATGTAACTGTAACTCTTCATATATCACCTTGACAATAAAATTACATTAAAAAAGTTGTATAGTTCATTTTCACCATAGTATCTACTGAGTTGTATGAACATAAATATCCATGCTCAAGAATCAATTTACTTTTATTGTATAATCAACTTTTGTTTTATCTTATTATGGTACATTTTAATTAGCATATATTCATAATGCTGGATTTTTTTTAAACAAGGAGTTTATTTAAACAACAAGATGTAGGGCTGGGAAGGTGGCTCAGTGGTAGAGTGCTTGCTTCTCCTGCATGAGACCCTGGGTTCAATTCCTCAGTACCACATAAACAGAAAAAGCCGGAAATGGGCACTGTGGCTGAAGTGGCAGAGTGCTAGACTTGAGCTGAAGAGCTGAGGGACAGTGCCCAGGCCCAGAGTTCAAGTCCCATGACTGACAAAAAATAAACAAACAAACAACAAGACTCTTGACTTGAAGGGAAACTACCTGGGATTCTTTCTTTCTTTTTTTTTTTAAAGACAGATTGTCCTACATGTAACAGGTACAAACAAAATGTTATAAAATTGTCCTTGGTCTTACAATGATAAATGAAAACATTAAAATTCTCCAGTTAAACAAGGCATGCAAGGATTTTTTTCTCTTTTTTTTTTTTGTTAAAACAGTGAGAGCAAAATAACTTACTGAAATATAAAGATAAAAGCTGAATGAGCATGCCGCGAATGGAGAAGGGGGATGTTTTGGATATTTTCACAGAACCAGTATTTCCCCCATGCCATCTCCATTTGATGTCAATCAAAATATACCATTGGCCATTTAGTTTAAAAGAAAAAGAAAAAGAAACAAAAAAAGAATATGCTAGTGCACATACACCAGTCACTTTATGTACAATAAAGGAATGGGGAAGGGGAAAAATGAAAGAATAGAGAAAACTATACTGTAGTAATCAGGAACTAAATTGCAGTTTTCTAATTAAGAATGTATTCTTGGTCTATAAGAACAAAGTTCTGGGGCTGGGAAGGTGGCTCAGTGGTAGAGCGCTTGCCTTGCAAGCCAAAGGCCCTGGGTTCGATTCCTCAGCACCACATAAGCAAAAAGAAAAAAGCCGGAAGTGGCGCTGTGGCTCAAGTGGTAGAGTACTAGCCTTAAGCTGAAGAGCTGAGGGACAGCGCCCAGGCCCAGAGTTCAGGCCCCATGACCCCCCCCCGAAAAAAAAGAGCAAAGTTCTGGGGCTGGGAAATTGACTCAGTGGTAGAGTGCTCACCTCGCATGCATGAGGCCCTGGGTTCGATTCCTTAGCACCACATACGCAGAAAAAAAAAAAAAAGCTAGAAGTGGCACTGTGGTTCAAGTGGTAGGGTGCTAGCCTTGAGCTGAAGAGCTGAGGGACAGTGTCCAGGCCCAGAGTTCAACCCCCACAGTCCCCCCCCCACAAAACAACAACAACAACAACAAAGTTGTGGAGCAAAGTAGCAGGTTCTCTTTTTTTAGTAGACACCTCCTGACTCCTGCTGGAACTCATCAATTGTATCTGCGTCCTCCATTTCCAACTGTGCAGACATGTCTGTTTCATTGATAGCCTGCCCATCAAATCGGAATCTGATCTGCCTCATTGACAAACACTGTTAAAGCAGCAGCGGCGCAGCCCAAGTTGCCTCAGAAATCAACAGGTTTCTCAGGCTTTATGATAAAACAGCACACAGCTGTTTTCAGCTGCTGAAATCAATCTTGGGCTTTTCCGTCGGCCATCACGAGCGCCAGAGTCTCCTCAGATGCCTCTTCACAATGCTGCTTTAATCATGATAATTTTTTAAATGTGAACAGTGTAGGTTCACCCCATCCATTACTACGAATAAACTTTTAAGAGTTAAATTTCTAGGATCATAGGTAGTTGGATGTTTACCTTTTTGACATGGCTGTGAAGTCTTGAGATTCCTGTTAAAAAATGAGTATGTGTGCAGAATCATTCATTTCTTTTTTTCTCGTTTTTGCAGCTACACCATATCCTGGAGGATTTAAATGCTTTACTTGTGAGAAGGCAGCAGACAATTATGAATGCAACCGATGGGCTCCTGACATCTACTGTCCTCGAGGTAATCTTTGTAGACAGGTTTAGTGCCCCCAGAGCTGTTCATGAATGAATGACCCTGAGCACAATCTGAGACTGTACTTACAATCTCAACTGCTCTACTTGTTTCAGGCTATTAGCAGATCTTTTATACTTCATCATGCATAACTTATACTCAGAGGCTCTCAGAGATATTAGAGGTCCATGGAGTTGCTTTGTTTCTAATGAAGCATCTTTGGAGACCCAGAGGATGTTCATGAGACCCCCAAATCAGGGGCAGCCAAATGCAAAACAAGAAGAGAATGGCCAGCCTGTTTGCCATTCTTTGAAGTGTTAGTCATTTCATAGGAACTCCTTTCATATAAAGTTTGATATTCATAGAAAGATTCCATTTATTACCCATATTGCCAGATGCTTCTATCTTGACAGTATCAAAGCAAGAATTTTAAATGTCATCATTGCATAAATAGAAACTCTGAGCCTTTTAAACTATTAAGTTCACTTTGAAGGAAAAGATTGGGTGTGATTTGAAGCTTGAAATTTTGACTCAAAGACCTATTTCAAAATGAAAATATCTAAATATCTAAATAGATGTTTATATTTGGCTATGGGGGTCACAGTTAATTGGCTGTTTTATTTCGGAGAGAAGTGGGTTCATTGGGTTAGAGGGATGATGAGGATATTTTCTTAACTTGGGTTTCAGTGTGTAGTTAGTGTACTTCCCTGCTGATCTAATTCAGATAAAATGACTAAATTCATTATTTTTCAACCTAATGTGAGAGCTCCCATTCTCCACCCAGTGTATGGCACTCTGCTTCCTCTGGTAGATGAGAAATTAGGAGATTCAGAACACACCATTAAAAGAAAATTTTCAGTGCTGTTTAACCTAGAAGTCTTACATGGGCTTCCCAGAAGAAATACTGGTGGAACTTTTCAAACTCTGTGAAACCTGTGCCCCCTCCTAGATCTATAGCTCTCAGACTCCATCAGTGATCTGCCTTTTCTCCACAGTCCCTTCATATTCCACTTCAGTGATTCATTAGCTCTGAGATTATCCTGAGAACATTTCTAAGAAATGTCCAGGTGATCCATAGGTTCCTAGTTTGGAGATCATAGTTACACACAATTGGACTAGCATCTCTGAGACCAAGACTTTTTCTCAGTATTGCTAAGCTTTCCAGGGGATTCTAGGAAGAATCTGCTTGCTTAGTTTTTGTAGAAATGTCTGTGGAGTTCAAAGTGATTACAGAGAAGGGAAAAACATGGTGACATTAAAGATGGGCTTAATTACTAGCTTCATGTCCAGCCAGCTAGGTATTCAAGGATAAATCCTATGCCTATTGCCTTCTGTAGCTATTGCTCATTTCTGAGTAAGCCAGTGTGTTCTGACATTAATGTGGTAGGATGAACCTTTGGGCAAGTTGTTAATGGACCTGATTAAACCACTGCTTCGAAAATAGGGCCCCACATCAAACACATCTAGTAAAGTTTCAAAAACTGTGATGCCAGGGATTTAACTTGCACAGGGTATGGCTGGGAATAAGAATTTTTCAAAGTTCCCTTGCTAACTCCAACATGCAGCAACATTTGACAATTGTAAACAAGGACTCTGGACAAAATCAGGATGATTTGCTTGTGCTTCCAGTAACTGTTTCCAGGGCTGAATTCTGCTGGAAAAGACCTGGCCAGTTAGCTTCTCAAATTGTTTTAAGTGGTAAGAATTAGTATACCTAATGCTACTACTAGATCATGATATAAGTAATTTTATAAACAAATGGTATTTATTCCTCATAGCTCTACAGGCTGAGAAATTTAAGATGGAGGATAGTGAAAGCCAAGTTTTCCTGCTTCTAAGATGTCACTTTTGTTGTTGCTTTCTTCAGCCTGGTGAAGGATGTATTCTCACACAATGGAAGGAAGAAAGCTTTTGGAAAGGAGCCAACCCACTCTCTAGAGATCTTTTTTTTTGCGGGGGGGGGGTCCGGTCATGGGGCCTGAACTCTGGGTCTGGGTGCTGTCCCTCAGCTCTTCAGCTCAAGGCTAGCGCTCTACCACTTGAGCCACAGTGCCACTTCTGGATTTTTTTTTCTTTTTGCTATGTGGTGCTGAGGAATCGAACCCAGGGCCTCCGGCATGCAAGGCAAGCGCTCTACAACTGAGCCACCTTCCCAGCCCCTCTAGAGATTTTTTATAAGGTTTTGAATCCTAACTCTGGAGGGTTTAATTATCTCTTGAAAGTTTCATCTTTTAATATCATTACATTGATGATTGTCAACATAGGAATTTTGGAGCACACATTTCAGACCATGGCATAATATGACTATACTTCTCTCAGAAGTGTTATAGTTCTGAGCTTGTCTTAATAGATAGAAACATGTGGAGGAAGAGGGAATATGAATTGCCCACATACAGATTTGGATGGCACACAAGTATATCTCTGTCACAGAAAAAAAAAAAACAGGAGATCAGAAGCATCAGTACTGAATGCATCTCAGGGAAAACAAAGTTCCATCTTGTTTTTAAGTTTTCAAAGGTTTGTGTTGACATACTATTTGTACAAGAGTTGTTTCCTTTTGACATGTTTTTTATATACATATAAGGTACCCTGGTCAAACTCATCTCTCCACATCTTTTCCACATCTACCCTCCCTCCTCTTCAAACAATTTCAGCAAACTCCATTGTTTTATTTTCATACATACATACAGATTACTTTGATCATTCACCTTCTTCATTGTCTCCCAACATTTCCAGTGGTACCTCATAGTAACAACACAGCCTTTCATTCTTTTTTCCTTTCCTTTCATTCTTTTTCCCCCCACTATACAGTAATTGTATTAAAGCACCATAGTAATTACCATGGTAATTAACACATGCATATATTTTAATTTAATCAAACCAACCTCATTTTTTGCACTTTCTTTTCTAGTCCCCTATTTCCCCCAGAAAATTCCATCTTGATAGTTTCTTTTGAGATCAGAATCTATCCTTTCAAGGTTTAAATACCTCAAAGTACCATAGAGTGCTTTTTATACAATTTATCTTTTCTCTCCAACTTTCATTTTTGTATCCTTAAGTTTATAGGATAATGGAAAATCATGCACTGAGGTTCAAGACATAAAACAACCATGCCAAGATGACAGGCCCCTTGATAGATTATGCAGACAAAAATAGGAATCTCGTTTCTTCTTCCTTGGAGCAGGCAGTTTAACCTGGAAGATAACATCTGACCATATCAAATGTCACAAACTGGAGGTCAAAGTTATGTGTCAAGTGAAACTTGGCTTTAGTTCTGTGAGAGGGGCCAGTGAATGCACCATGTTCTTGGAAGACCAGAACAGCCTGATACCTGGGAAATAGATTTAAGATGTTGAAGAAGGCAGATCTTCTGCAAAGTTACTCAGAGCAGTGGTTTGGAAAAAGGATTTCCCAAATGTGCTCACTGGGTGGGAAAGGACCTGACCTGGAAGGATCAACCAGTTTGTATCAAATGCTACTAAGAATGAAATAGAAGGGCTAGGTGATTTTTGTGTGGCCCTGAAGAGCAGGTAAGAGGGAGGAACTCAAAGCTGTAACCTGAGAAGAGGTAAGGCCACACAGCCCCCTGTCTGACCAGCCCTACTTCCCATGAGTCTTCTGCACCCTTTAGCTAGAAGTTGACAAACACGCTTAATGAGGACAGCTCAGAAGCTGTTATCATGGAAAGGCATTCTGGCTTTCTGAAACATTCCTGGCCTTAAGTTTGGTCATTCTGTGACATATTTAACACTTTTTTAATCATCATATGATATGAAAATAACTTGGGGAAGGTGAAAATAATACCCATGTAAGCATTTAATCTCATCTAATGGATACGTCTATACCCCCCATTGCTTAAGGAATGGCTGATTTTAAGAATTGTCAAAAAGCTAAGGCTGGGGATATAGCTTAACTGATAGAACACTTGCTTAGCAAGCATGAGGCTTTCAGATGAAACCCTATTACAACAGAAATAAAGAATTTCAACAGCTAACTTTTTTTAAATGAATGAACATGAAGATATAACATATCCTACTGCCTGACACTCATGGAATCTACATACTTGTTTTGAATAATCATCGAGTCCAGCGTTCTTTGAAAAAGGCAGTCCCTGCGTAGAAGTAGAATCATTCCTTTGGCATTGGGGGCATCAGCCAGCAACACTTCTAGTGGCAAAGCTTCTTGATCACTTTCAGAAGCTGTGTTGTGTTTAGTCCTTTATCGTCTATTTTACTCCTTTTGCCTCTGGTGCTTACAAGTCCATGATTTACATCTGCACCCTGGAACTGAGAATCTTAGATGCCCTCCCTCATTGACTTACTGCTTCCCTTGTTTGGCTTCCATTCAGTCTTTTTTCCATTGTACTTCCTTTGCAGGGCCTGCCATTTCATCAGCTAGTCTTACAGATATCTTCAGTTTATGAACCAGAATGAGAAAAGATCTTGAAGTTATATTATGTGAAAATTCAATAGAAGGATCTAATGTAATAAAATAAGAGCTAATTATAACGTCTTTGAATGCAGGTCACTTTGCCCAGGACTTTCACTCTACTGTGAGATTAAAAGTTTCTTGAGAGAAGGAACTGTGTGTCTGTTTATCAAGAGTCTGTGGAATTCAATATCACGTCAAAAATATTCCAATTCTATGAGAGTTGTTCTGTGGAGAATGCAAAGACTCAAGACATTCGTTTCCTTATTAATTACCATGTGCAGCAGTCTCCTCAGGAACTAATCGAAATTTGAAATAATTGCTGATAGAAAATCAGAAGAAAAGTGATGAGATAGAAAACATATATCCTTTGGGTTGCAGCTTCTAGGATACTCACTTTTTTTCTGTGAAAATGAATGAACAAAACTGTCCCTTGATGGATCTTTTTAGATAAATCGTCTAGCAATTCCTGGAACAAACAGGAAATATAAATGGGATCCTCAGCTCAAGTGAAGACAAGCCCAAAATTAGAAATTCCTAGTAAAGACTGGTTTATTGTTGACTTTTTTTGAACAGAGCAC